TGATATGTAAAACCATAGAACTCAAAGAGGGTGTACTTTCTTTTTCACACGACTGTATGTTGCTTCATTCTCAGAATGGTTGTTTTTTTCTTTGTCCCTGTGAATTTTTTTTTTTTATGTCTGATGTCTACCTGAGACCATAGGGATGTTGTTGAATTATTTAAAAGAAATAATTATGGAATAAAATAAAGGCTTTCAGCTGATTAAGTCCTTATGCTGAAAGTTACTGTCAGAGGATGCTCTTGCTCCATTATGCAAATATATTAATAGTAATAGGCTATCTTTGCTGTTTAATAAGCAATGGTGGAATCAATCTAGTTTATTCCATGACTTTTTGTAAATTAGGAATGGAAATATTAACTGCTTTCCTCCTGTGGCACAATCTTACTGAATACAACTCGCAGTTTCCTTCCTTCCCCTTTTAAAATGGCAAATCTGCTTTCTAGTACTGTATGATGGAAAGCTTAAATGGGTATTTTTTGCCCTGAAAATAAATATTCATTGCATTTTGAAGTTCCATCACACTTTAGTTGGCAGGTAGAAAGGAAGAACCTGAGCCATGGGGATTTGCTAAAAGATGGTGTATTTTATTAGTATTCATTTTTATTCCTTTCAGCTGTTCCATATACTGAGACTGTAAGTTACATGGGTTAGGCCCTGAATGATGATGCTATCTATCAAGTCAAAATACTGTTGTGAAAAGAGCAAAAGTTGTAGCAACAAAACATTCTAGCATACCAGCATAACTCAACCTCTTAGTACCCAAAATGTAACACCAATTCTGAATGAATACAGAATTATTGCTTTCAGATGCAGAGTATAATATTGCCCACATGTGAACATTTGCATCTGACTGGTCATTCCATAAAAAAAAGGGAAGTACATGACTCTGGTAGCAGCCATTTTCCATAAACAAATTTGCTTTATGTTATAGATTGATTGATTATGTGCCATCAAGTTCTTTAATAGATTTTCTCCATGATTATGTTATATGTAGACTAATGCATAATGATTCCTTTTCTAGTACTGAGTTATGTGATCTTACCTGTGAATACATAGTTTTGCAAAGTATAATTCCAGTGATCCTGATATAGTACAAAATAATATACAGATAGGCCTTGTTTAGCAACTGCCTCATTTAGCAACATTTTGCGGTTAAAACGGTGATGGAACAATAACTTTATGACCAATCCTTGCATTTGCAAGTAGTCCTTAGGTTACAACCATTTGTTCAGTGACCATTCAAAGTTACAACAGCACTAAATGAGGGGGATTTAAGACCAGTCCTTGGAGTTCCAGCTGTTGCAGCATTCCTGCATCCGGGTGCTCAGCACCTGGCTCACAATTACAACATCGCAGTGGGCTACAGTCATGTGATTGTGATTTCCAACATTCCCTGCCAGCTTCCCACAAGCAAAGACAGTGGGGAAGCCGGGAGGGAGTAGGAAGTCATAATCACTGAGGTCCTCGTTTAATGACATGCACGGTCTTTGTTTAACAACGACAACCAGGACTGCTAGAATTACAGTTGTTAAGCAACACAGTTACATGACATCACAGTTTTCGACCATGTTGCTTATTGATGGAGTTCCCAGTCCCAATTGCCGTTGTAACTTGAGGACTACCTGTATGACCTTCACAGGTCTGTAAACCAAAGGAAAGCCGAAGCAAGATCATAATCACAGTTGCAGTTTCGCTTAGCGACTCCTTTGCTTAACAACTGAGTGGCTGGTCCCATTTGTGGTTGCTAAACGAGGACTACCTGTTTACCCAATTTGTAACATTCCATTTAGAACACTGTTCAAATAGTTATAATTTTGTATGAAGTTTTTAGAAAATTTGAGAATACACGTATATAATATATTTGCATATAAAACCATATGATTTATACAAAGTACACATATATTTGGATGTCTATGAACAGCTGACTGAAAGAACCAAATGAATTAATTAGCATTACAACAGAGTCATATTATTTACAACTTAACACTCAATGTTTTAACAAGTTTGCATAATCTGGCTGCTGGCAACTTCATACTTGAAGCGTCAAAGAAAGGGGAAAAAATAATTCCTCTAAATGAAAAGGAGAAAAAAAGAGAGTTCCTCTTATAACTTGGTAATCGCAGCTAGATGTGAGACAAATATCTTCATTTCTTAGACTGGAAAATCCATTACTTCTAGCTTCTTGCCCCAGATATATCCACTGCAATATGTTGTGCTTGTTTTCCTCCCATTGTTCTGGCTGAACCTTTCTGAGAACCACCTACATACCAAATATAGGTGTGATGTGTGTAATGTATTGTCCAGAGTTGTAAAGTATGTGCAAAATCTGAATGAGAGTATCCTGCCAAATTAGGGTGGTTGGTGTGTTCTTTGTTTAGTAATGCGTGTTGGTGCAGCAATAATTTTGAGGATTATTTGTATCAAAGATATCAAATTATGGTTTTATAGTTTGGTTCTTCTTTAATTTTTAGGATGTAGGACTTTGTTTCTGACAGTAATTACCTTTGCTTCATGGA